CGCCATCAGACATCATTTGTTTAATGTCTGTTTTTGCCCGATAGGATGCAAGCTGCATGTGCAGGTATTTGAGTCACAATATATAAGGTCTAAAGGGGACTAATTTAGGCTGTCTGGAAAATGTAGACCCCCAGGGATGATATATGGAATAAAGTCTGAATGACAAGATGGAGACAATGACAGGGCATGGATCAGGGTGTTCAAGGCAGAGGAAATGACAAACATAAAGGTTTAAGTCCAAAAGAAGCTTGTAGTGACTTTAGGGGAAACAAATACCCCTGGGGTTGGAGAAAAGGGAACAAGAGGGAGAGAACTGAGAAGAGAAGAGTGGAGGGTGGAGTATAATTCTAGGGATTCGGAGAGGAAATGGCAAGTCCAAAGGCCTGGACACAAGAGAAACTCAATATTCCAATACAAGTAACGAAGAAAAAGTGACAAACATCTCTTCTGAGAGGCCTCAGCTAAGCATTTTATGCTTCCCTAGGGGGTTGTCTCTTGGTATGTTAGTATTTCTTCAGTTAATTTTGAACAGCCTGGGATAAAATGGTAGCATCTGCTCAGCCAAGTCAGCTGTGATCTGAAGTAAAATAAGAGTTGTCCCTGTGGTGGTATGGAGACAGAAGAGACATTACCACAGAGTTTATATGGCTTACAAACCCCTCTTTGCATTGGGGACAGTTTCAGAGTCTTTCCACCAGGGCACCTGATCTAAGACATTTCTAATTAAAATCATTTAAGTGCTGCAGTCTACGGGGAAAAATTCTAACATTTCCAATAAAAATGCACTTAAAAAAAGAAAAAAGCCTATGTCACTAGTCAATACCATACATATCCTGACTGTAAGTAATAAGCATTTTACTAAGGCCATTACAAAGAGCTATTAAACTATGTCTTATTTGTGTTGTTAAAAGGCAGATCTGGCGGAACCGCCATCTTCCAGTAATTCGCCGAAATGACCGACACAAGGGCAAGAGGAGAGGCCCCCGCTCTGTGTTCTCTGGCCCCTTTTAGAAAACATGGAGCTGTTCCTTCGGCCACCTACACTCGAATCTACAAGAAAGGTGATACTGTAGACATCAGAGAACGGACACTGTTCAAAAAGGAACACCCCACACATGTTCCCATGGCAAAACTGGAAGGGTCTACAGTGTTACCCGGCATGCGGTTGGCATTGTTGTAAACAAACAAGTTAAGGGCAAGATTCTTGCCAACAGAATTAATGTACGTATTGAGCATATTAATCACTCTAAGAACTGAGATAGCTTCCTAAATGTGTGAAGGAAATTATCAAAAATAGAAGGAAGCCAAAGAGAAAGGTACCTGGGTTCAGCTGAAGCGCCAGCCTGCGCCACCCAGAGACGCTCACTCTGTGAGAACCAAGGAAAAGAGCCTGAGCGGCTGGAGCCCACTCCCTATGAATCCACGGCATGATAAGGGTAAAAAATAAAAGACCTCTGTACTGTTAAAAGGCTCTTCTGGTGTACCCACGTGTTGGCAGACGTCAATCACCATCTTGGAAAATGCTGTATCATGGAACATGGTTTTTCCAGTAAGAAATATGAGATAGGGTAAATTATATCCTTAAAAGTTTCTGAAACATATATTTCCTATTACTTTTTCAGAGACACCTTTTTGTTGCATCAAAACTACGCATTTTTAGTTGGCTCTAGTAAAATTAAAAAAAAATAAAGTTAATAAAAAACTAAGAGATGGTCCCATTTCAAAAAATAAAATAAAAAATAATCAATGTTTCTTTGGGCTCTTTTTCTGCAAATAGCCAGATGATATAGTGATCTTATTAAGTATAGGTAAATCATTGGAAACTAGAGAATTTCTTTAAACTTTTAAGTGTCCTCTTTCATCTTCTTGAGCTTTTATTTTTGTGAAGTCACTGTTCTGATATACTTAGATTTGGGTCAAATTCAATTACTATACAATAAGTCATGATTTAGCACTGAAAAAAATAGAATGATTAAATAGTTTCATAATGAATTACAGAACTCCTTTGCACTTAGTATATACACTTAAAATATTGCACTTCCTAAATAAAGATTTAATTTTTAAAACACAAATTCTTTAGCATATCTTTGCGCAAAATCTGCTACCAGCTATACTTTCCATTGCATTAACATCATATGACCAGAAGTGTTGACTAATCACTCCAATATTTAGATTTGTGTTTAATAATTACTTTTATAGAATCTTTGTGGCAATCCATTAGGCTTTTATCTACAGAGATTTTTCATTATTTGCATTCTTTGTTTCAGATCTCTGAAATCACAGGAAAAGCAATCAAAACCCACAATATGACTTCACTCCTCAGAATTTCCTCCTTGCCTCAACATGAGAAACATGGCTGAGGCAGAAATGATGATCTTTGAAACACTGAGTTGGTGGTCCAATGTCCATCTCCACTGTTTACAAGACACTCGCCCCCATTCCTCAGCCATTTCTTCTCCTTGGTCATTGTCTTTTATCCTGTCATCATACTGGGTGTCTCAAAATCCTGCTCAAACCTCTGAGCTTAGCCTTCTTGATTCCTAAGGCCTGACTTCCTGCTCAGCCACATCTGAACTTCACTATCTGGACCAGCACCATTGACAAGTTCAATATGTTTCAACTCCCACTCCTGATAACAACTTCCGTGTCCTCTCTTAAAATTTCCTTTGTCCCTAGTGATCCTTCAACATAACTAAGTCATCATGCTTGCCCTCTCTGCTTTCTAAAGATATCAGCACCCTCCTGCCTCAATTAGCACTATACTCAATCAGGTCCCATTTTCATATTATACAAATTCACGTCCCTTTAATACAGCATCATATTTTCTGTACCAACCACCAACTTGAATCTGTCCTCCCAACTGTTCTTACCACTGATAGTCAAAGGCTCTGGGTATTAGTAGAAAAATCTATGAAAGCATGGGAATTCGTCTTTTCTTTACATATTCATGATAGATCTTACTTCAATGGCTCTTTATCACTGACAAGCAGTCCCTTTTCTCTTGTATAACCTGCTCCTGGCTGTCCTAAACTATTTCTACAAACTCCTAGCAGATGATCACGTCTTCCTAATAGTGTATTATCCACCTGTCCAACCAACCCACCTACTGTCCAAAGTTCTATGTTGTAACCTATACTCTCTTCCTTTTCTCCCAGCTCAAAGGAAGAGCGTTTCCCCTGCTGCCTACAGGTCTACCCAGTGCTACAGGAACATTCCCTTAGCTATTTTTTCTCCTACACCATACTTTCCCATATTCTTCAAATGAATACATTTTCTAAAATTATAACCCAAGCTACTTGGCTTATCACTCTTCTGAATTGTTTGCACAGGATTTGAATCACAGCCTCACTCAATCTGGAACCATACATTCCCCTGGTTTCCATGCCATTTGCAACTCTCTATGTTCACATATGTCTAACCACTCTTTCCCTAGATTTGTTATCAGCTCCTCTCCTGGGACACAAGGGCACATACTACCCACATCTGCCCAAGGAACTTGGATTTTTATTGTGTAACCTCAGAGAGCTGGAATGAGGATTATGTCTAATGCACTTAAAAGTATCCTATTTTGCCTCAAGACACCAATCAAAGTCACCTCCACAGAAAAGCTTTCTCTGACCTCCCCAGAATGGGTCAGTCTCCCACAATGGCTTATATATACAATATATATAACAGGTCCCGTTATACGGCTTTCTCTCTGATACTGGGACCAGACGCCATAGTAGGCTGTTATTTCCTAAGAAAGTATGGTTACCTCTCTCCCCAGTTATTTCTTCCCCACCTTATCTCCTTCTTAGCATGGCCACCAAATTAATCTCTCCTAAATCCCATACTGATCCTCTCATTTTCTATTCAGAAATTTCTAGCAATTTTCCCCACTGCCTATAACAACTTTTTAGCCCAGCTCTGAAACCCTGCATATGGCTGAAACTAGCAATCGACCTTCTGCTAATACCGTCTAAGAACCATTGCCTTATTCTACAATACAACTACATATAGTACATTCTCCGACCTGTACCTCTGCTCAGGCTCATTATATGACTGCCACATCCTCGTGGTGTGATTCTGCCCTGGCTCAGTCAATGCTTCCTCTGAGTCAAGGCCACCTTAAGGGTACTCGCCACAAATTGCTCTCCCTCGTCCCTTTAGCAAAATGACACCAAACTGTGCTGCACTTCTAGCACGTTTAGTCCACACTTGTGTTTATTTATGTGTATATGGAATTTCCCAACTGGATGGTGAAGTATAGTGATATCAAAGATGACATTTTAAGCAAGCTTATAACACTCAAATGACAATCAGTATCTTTATCACAAACATGTATTATGTGCCAGGTGCTGCTACAAATGCTTTACAATGATTCTGTGGGGTACACCCTATTATCTTTCCCATGTACAAATGGGAAGACTGGGTCATAGACTAGGGCCTTCACAGAAATTTGAACACAATGAGTACAAAATTATATTTGTGAATGGATAAATGTATTACTAATAATTAAGCATTGATATTGTTACATAAAGTAATCCATCAACCTAGAATACTTTCGCTGGTCTTCCTAGCCTAGCAAAACCCTCCCAGTCTTCAAGACCCTACTCAAATGTGCCCTTCAAAAAAGTGTCCTGCTAATACCTTGGCAAAATTAATTGCTCGTTCCATGAATTGTCTTTAATACTTGTAATGTGTCTTTATTATTACACTAAGGTTACTTAGAAGTTGATCAATAGAATGTTTCTTAATGGGAATTTGTTCAATATTTTTAATTCTCAGAAAAATTAACTGGAAAACAAAATGAATGTAATTTATATCTGCTCAACAAACGAAATAAACAGAAATGGCTTACCTTATTAGCAATGTTTGATAATCAGACAATTTTTTTTCGGTAACATTTAGTACCTGTATGAAATTATAAGCTCTCATATAGCTAAGTCTAATTCAGAAAGTCTATTCTTTCATTTTATCCAAACAAAGCATTATTCTTAAGAAATGGGTAATGGACTTACCAGTCTTCTCCTTTCTTCTTCTACTGTGATGAGTAGTCTTGCAAATTCTTTTAGTGACTGAGCTATTTAGAAGATAAATTTTAAAAAGCATTAACATTTTTTAATGCAAATATCTAATTGCACAGGAATAAACATTACAATGCAGCTAGTTATAAATTTGTACATATTCTGTGGTCTTATGTTTTTATAAGCATAAAACAGTATATACATTAGGATCTCAGTGACTAACGGCTATAGATAAGAGATGTCTGCATGCAGTAATCTGAACTTAAGCACAAGTCAATTGTACTATTCTTTTTTTTCAAAGACACTAGAGTAGTTTATACATTTAATATGTAAAACTTACACATTAATAAATAAAAGTATAGTACTGGAATCACTTCTAAACTGAATACTACAAATAATGAAAAACATATTAAATCTGTAAGAAGCAATAAATCCATCCTATTTATTGGGTTGTCGGCAAAGTCATGATGCATTTTTGTGATGAAAAACAGAAAAAAAATACGTCATGACTTTACCCACAACCCAATAGATGTACTGAGTAGCAGCCAATACTTCAAGGTCTCTCCCGCTGAGTTCTTGCTAGAAGTTCATCAGTTATAGATACTTAAGAAACAGATTCTGTATTCCTCCCATGCTGGAGCTACTTGAGATCGTTGTTAGTGTACTGGGATGACCACCAGCAACAGCATGCTGGGAACTTGTCAGAAATAAAGACTCTCAGGCCCCACCCCAGAACCTAGCATTTTAACAAGATCCCCAGGGGACTTGTTTGCATATTAAAGTTGAGAAGCACTACAATAGAAAACTACCTGAACCAACATCTGCTGTGGGTTGGGGAAAAGATCAAGTATTCAGGAACACTGAAAGAACAAACCAAAAATAAATAGGGAGTTACAGTAGCATATTCTTTAAAAAGGCTTAGCCCCAAATGGTGATGGTGAAAAAGAAATTCATTCACATCAGTTTGTGTACCTTATACTTAATATGAATAATTAACTAACGTTGAGGCTTTTTGTTACAATACTAACAAAACAAGATGAATGCAGAATTTGTTTTTATTTAAGCCTTGACACTTCCCTTCTGCGTCCTTACTCTTAAGGCTCCCTCGTCCTCTCTGCTTCACCCACCTAACACTGAGAGCATTCCCTGAGACCAGAAGTCTAGTAAATCCAGCATAAAACCTACGATGAAGGCAAGGAAGCGAGGAAAACAAATCAAGAGTCACATTAACAGAACGTATTAAGGAAGAGAAAAAAATGTTTCCCTTTCAAGAATTAAAAATCCCAATCTAGGATTTTTTTCCCCCCTCTTTTCAGAAAAGGCTTACACTAAACTAAGCTGGTTTGAAATGCTATCCCTGTGATTACTTCGCATTGGTTTTTATTCACAGTTACCAAAACAAAAATCAAAGGATTACCTAGGAGACTGATTAATCTGATAAACACATTACGGACCTTAGAGTAAAGGTAACTTCTTCCTTTAGAAGTTATAAGTTTTAATTTCTTCAAAAGTAACTCATATCGGTGCTGCAACACAACCCAGTTTTGACAACTGGAAGTTGAACAGAAAAACATTTTACAAATATATAGATTTTAACTGTAGTGTATAATAGCATATTAAGGTTCTGTATCTTCGGTAAAGAAAGTAGTCCATCATCTTTCTGGCAGCTATCTACTACACTGAAGATCTCTGTTGGTGCCTAAAAAAAATGTCAACCAAACTTTGGATGGTGGGAGGCAATGTTAACATGCCTGCAGAAAAAGAAGCCATGAGTTAAATCAGTTTGGGCTACACGTTTTGGAGGCAGCAGGTGCTCCTAAAGGTAAGAACATAAGAGGAGATAGAAAGAGCAGGTGAAAGTCTGTATAAGAAGCACTTTAACCCCAGAGTTCTAACTCAGTTCCTCCCAAACTTTTTAATAAAACAAAAACAAGAAACCCTCACCCTCGTATGCTTCCTTTTATTGGAAGCTACTAGATGACACACTCTAACAAAACATGGGGCTAAACCAAGAGAAGGGGATATGGGCTCTAGAAATAGGAGGTCCAACATAGAAAAGAAGCAATGGAATTCTCAGGACGACACAGATACATATATTCCAGGACAACAGTTGTGCAAACGGTCCAGAGACCATCTTGCCTAAATTGGAGCAACAGGTTAGGGGCTCCAGGAAATGTCCCCAGAAAAAAGAAAATAGAACTGATCAATATCCCAAGGTTTCAATGTAATGAGATGTTTATACTCCTTTTTTATAAGGAAATTCAAAGGCGATTATTAACTCCTGGGAACACAAAGCTATATACAAGTAACACGATCAAAATAAATGAAATTGCTGAGCTGTAATATGCACAAAGTAATACAAGCATTAAAAATAGAGTTGGGCAAAATTAAATTTTAACTATTGAGAGAATAGGGGAAAGGAGCATGTAAAATAGTTTGAACTCAAGACATAGTGTGACAACTCTATGAAGTAAAAAGATGATATCTAAAACTGAAAAGAAAAGTCAGGAAGTAGCTAGATATTCATGATCTTTAAAGAAAGAAAAAATGGCTAAAAGTTCAAAGTGGTCTTTCTGGGAAATTAAGCAGTGGGGACTGGTAAGATAGGAGATGGCTAGTTGTTGTTAAGCTTAATAAAAATCTATAGCTTTTTAAATAAATAATGAAAAATAAAACATGATATTAATGCTTCTTTTCTTATTAGCCTAAATTCTAGGAAGACATAGATCACATGTAATAATTTTTCCCAAAGGGTTAAGTAAATATCTAGCACATAGAAGCCTGTCATCTGGTAGTTTGGGAATAAATGAAAATATAACTTCATTAGAGGCTGGCAGAGGTACACTAGAACCTCCCACTTGGTCAATCAGAAATTATCACTGGCTCGCGTAGTGGAGCCCTCAAAGTCCCAGGAAGTATTTTACAATGATGACTGCGTGAGTCCACAGTCTTCCCCAAAGCAGCTACTACAGTGAGATTAAATCATGGAGTTGCCTTAAATCCGATTTTGATTACAAGTAAGGAAACTCAGGTTCTCAATGCGCTGTTGTACCTCTTTTTGTCCAAAAATTATTGATACTGTTTTCTGCTTTATTTGGTTTTCAGGTCTATTTCCAATATAAATACTATTTATAGACTCAGTACAATTAATACTTGATTATAATGAGAAGGTCGGAGGAGAAAAATTTTAACATGCAAAGCAATCCCTTGTCTGGTTACACACACACACACACACACACACACACACACACATGTCTCCTTCCAGTAGTTTTCTAAATCTGCCTCAATTTAACAAGTTTTGTTCCTTCTTTTTCTTTTGTTGATTTTTCAAGGAAATGACTTCAAAATACTAAGATTGTTCTCTTTAAATACTACAGTCTCAGTTCCATAAAAAGTATATGTTTCTTGGCCCAAATGAAGATATTCATGTTTGTCATTTGTTCTACAAAAAAAATGAACAGCCAGGAACACTCAATACTTATTTCATGAATTAGTGACAGTGGCCTACCAACTTTTTAAACCCATATCTAATATTTTCTCCTAATCGTTTTATTTGTAATAATGTCAGAGTATTGCGTTAACAGTTTACTAAGCACAAGGTAACACAAAGATAATAACAATTAAGAATCCTATAAAGCAGATATAAAACAATTCAAAATATTATCTTATAAATTCGGTTTTAGGGTTAAGGGCTGAAGGACTGCCTGCCCCACCCTCAAATTAACAGGAACCTCTGACACGAATCAGGCAGATACAAACTGCTTGGTGTACCCCAACAGCTCTCTAGAGATGAGGAGCCAATATTAGAATCTTTGGTGCACAAATGCCATGAAGAGACCATGAAACCCAGAGGGACTCTACTCCCCAGCAGGCCTTGGGCAGAAAACATACAAAATGACTCCCCCAGCACTCATCACAGTGCCTTACACAAAACAGCCATTGATTTTATAACGACTTGAGTCATATCTTCTAAGACTATTTAAGCAAAATCTAAAAATATTTATTACATGCAAATGTCTAATACCTAAATACTTTCGTTTATAAGCAACTATTTGTGATGTCCCATATTTTATTTAGCAATATTAATATTTACATAAATAACTATGTCATTATGTGATTTGGGGAGGTTGAGACTAACTTTGAATGCAACAGCTGGTCCTGCAATTACAGCTTTTGACCATACCTCGGTGGTATGACAGGAGATTGATTTATTGAGAACAATATTCCAAAAACAATACTTAATGCACAGTAGGCATTCAATAGATGACCATTAAATGAATTAATGTGTTTAACAATACATTCCCACAGTCTATTTGCTCTATAAGGAGAAACATACCAACACGCATTCTAGGCTTCATTAAATACTATGAAAGGAATAGCCAGATACTTTGGAAAATTATGTTAGCTATCCACATTCCTGCCACCTGCATTAAACTTTCCTGGCTGTATTCACCAGTAATAATCTTTCCCCTTCCTGACCATCTGGACCACGAGATTACTGGAGAGCAACCAAAATATAGTTTCACATATAAATTTTAACTTTCCAATAAATTATTGAGGTCATGAATATTGCTACAGGCTTCCTTTTTATCTCCACAAAGTGATATTGGAAAAACACTTCTGGAACAAAAGAAATCAATTTTTCAGGTGTGTTTATGGCAGGCCCTAAGAGTATAAGCATTTACAAAGGCAGCTGGATTATACCTAGGAGGTGAGAAGTATGATAATAGCTTCTCTATTTACCAATATCATCAATTCTGAAACATTCCTGAACTGTCTAAAATACGTATTTCCAAACTTAATTCTTTTCAGCAGGCTTAAATTCACCCTAATATTTTTGACTATGGGAAAACCCAGTTTATTGTCTAAAAGTAAGAATGAGAGAGAAGAAAGAAAATTACTCCCTGTTCATGGCTGACATAACTCTACCTACCACCTTAAGTACTAAGCATTACGCTCTTAGATGTTTCAACAACTGATCACCTTGGGCTTTAAGGATTTTACAACTAGAAGGAAAATTGAGGAAACTGGTCTCTCTTGCATCCAACCAACTTTT